TGGTAGTTCTCCTTGGCCAGCGGTGGGGGTGCCCTGGCGCGGTGGGGACTACAGGTCCCGGCATGCCGTGCGGCTCTGGGCGGCAGGGGGCGCTGTGATGGCGGGGCCGTGAGGGAGCTGTGGCGGAGCGGCCGGGCCGAGGTTGCCCCTCAGAGCTGCCGGGACCGGAGGCCGCCCCAGGGACAGCGGAAGGGGCCCGGGGTCTCTGCGTCCTCTTCTCAGCGAGGGATGAGTGCAGAAATCCTGTCCGTGAGGAACCACGGCCCACATTAGGGCTTTGCATGGTCATGAGTATTTCCGTTTTTCTTTGAAATAATGCCCTAAACTCGATATTTTTGTGATATAATAATAAGATGCCATTGCTGTGACATCTGAGTATTAACCGGAAGCACAAGCATCTTCACATAGGCCCTGACTTGAGAGCTTAAGAAAAAATCCTAAAAGCAGAGTTGTCCCAAGCTCTCAAAATGTCTTTAGTGTTTTACACCAGGTACCGGTTTTGTAAAACCTATGCCTTGGATTTGCTGTTAAATTATAGCTTCCTCCTCTTTACTGCCTGAGTACTGGCAAAATGCTCATCAGGGGCACTGCAGCTCCTCCAGAGCCCAAAGCCATTGGGTCAGGATTTGGAAAGGTTTAGATCAGATCTTGGGAAATTTAAATACACTTTGGGTTATTTTCAGCAATTTTTTCACAGAAATCAGATTTTCCCAGCCTCTGGCATCCATAGCAGCTGACTCCTCATGCACTATTGAAGGCCAGATTTGGGATTTCCAACAGCAGAGGGAAATGTTAAAATGGCAAAAATTGGTTGAAGTCCCAGAATACAAAACCCAAGCAGCACGTGACTGCCAAATGAATACCTCTGTGACAACACCACTCTCCTTCCTCCCCTCTGACTGGGATGGAAGAGGAAACCAAAGCACGGTCCCATTTTCCCAGTGACTATTATTTCCTGTATTATGGTAATAACTACAGCCATCCTGCTGCCAGCCCTGTCCCCAGCAGATAGGCCAGGCCTGGTTGCTTTGGGATGACAGAAATGTTTACCCTTCACTCATCCCTTTCCTTCATCCAGCGTCGCTTTGGTCACCAGCTTCCAGCAATGCCAGTGAGGTAGGATCAGCATGTTGTAAATGGGTCTAACTGGGTTTTTCCTCATAGTGTTTGAATACTTTTAAGATGCATATGGCTCTCAGAATAGGCAGGTAAAATTGCTGGTGGTAACATTTAGCAATGCACAGATACCCAGATCTGACAGCACGTCACTACAGTTGTTTTTCTGCTGAGCCACTGTGCCTCTCCACTGTGGGTATTGCTTCTCTTCCACCATCCTTGTCCTCAGCAGGTGCCCACAAGCCCACCCTGCAGACCCCAAAGTCCTCCTTTGACCACCTTCAGTCACCCATAATTTGTGGGGTAGCTCCTGACTGCACCTCATTTCCAAGTACACCCCAAGTCCACACATCTGGAACTGCAATCATTTCAGCTTAGGCAGCCAACACGCATGTGAAAACAGTCCTTTTTCATTTGCAGGCTTTAATCTGCACGAAACATGCTTGGCTGTGCTTTGGGACTCTGTGATGAATTAACTACCAGTGGTCAATACAGAAGGTTCACGTGCCCTTCGGAATAAATATCAACTGAGTAAAGCCTCAGTTGCTTCTATCTATTATTCTAAATTATTTTTTAAATTTCTCTAACCTGTGAAAATCCCCAGGCATCACTCAAGACAGATAAAACACCCAGTGCAAAAATTGGGTCCCATCACTGGGGATTTCTGGGGACTCTGCAGAAGTGAACAATTTCCAAGGAAATTGGGCATGTCTGTACAGTACAGGGAAATGACTCATTTCCAACTAAAGAAGATAAAAGCCACTGCATGCAGAGAGCTGCAGATGCTCTGCCGAGCCTCCTCCCTGGCTCTGAGATGGCTTTTTTTAACTGTACCTGCACTGCAATGCAGGGAGTGTCAGACCCACGCGCGACTCGGGGCTCCCATGTTCAACCCACGGGCACACAAACCCCACCCATGACCATTCTGGGGAGCAAAAGCACAGCAGGAGCCATCCCCGGCTGCAGATGCTCAGGATATTCTTCATTTGAGACGGCACAAGGCTTGGCTGCGCTGCTGCAGTCCCAGTGACCTTCATCAGAGGGAACTGAGCCTGAAAGCTCCAAGTGAAGAAGCTGATCAGTGGCCACAGACATGACCTGGTGCTTCTCTCGTGTCAGAGTGACTCCAGAACGCTCCCAGACTTGTCCTGCAGAGGAGAGGAGTCTGACCGATGCACTCAATCCTAAACACCAAATTTTAAGCTGCTAAAATCCCATGATGCGAGGTTTAAAAGGTCTGAGTGCGGTCAGCAGAGCTGCCTCCCTACACATTGTCTCCCTGATCCCTGCTCCTCCTGCACTGCCCAGAAAATGCATTCAAATCCCCAGGAAGAAGCACATTAATACAGCTGCATCCCTCTTCATCAAACTTTCCAGACAGCTCAGCATTTTCTAAATAAAAACCCAGGCCTGGACAGGTTTCCTGCGGCCCCCGAAAGGCGAGGACACACTGGCCCCTTCTGGAGAGCTCGGGGAGCGGCAACGACGGGAACAGGGCTGGCACAACCTCCTGTGCTTGATGTCGCTTAACTGGCCAGGGAAAACAAAGCCATGGTCACATTTTCCTGAACTCACCGCACAACAATTAAGTCTTAATCACACGGTTATGTTTATCTTGGTAAGGATGTTGGAAGAGCCACTTTTCGCACGGGCAAGCAGTGATAGGGATAACTGTTTCAAAGTAAGGGAGGGGATACTCCAGTTAGATATCAGAAAGGAATTCTCCCCTGGGAGGGTGGGGAGGCCCTGGCACCGGTGCCCAGAGCAGCTGGGGCTGCCCCTGGATCCCTGGAGGTGTCCAAGGCCAGGTTGGACAGGGCTTGGAGCAGCCTGGGACAGTGGAAGGTGTCGGAACAAGATGAGCTTTAAGGTCCCTCCCAACCCAATGCATTCCACAGTTCTGTGTCTCTTTAAACATATATTTACTGCAAAAAATTCTGTTAAGCTTCTCACCAGCTAAAGATTAGAGCCACTGTTCTATCCATCTGCCTGTGATTTTCTGGTTTCAGGGATTTATTTCCAAGTGTGTAGTAGTGGCCCCAAAACACTTATTAGTATGACCAGAAAAACCATCACTGTTCTTCATCACCTCGAAGAAAAAGTCAAGCACACTATCATGGAGCTAGGCTTTATTGGGTTCAGAGTTGTGCAGAGGAACAAAAAGACTCAAGAGCTCAGATCTGTATTTCACATGTTTAAAAACTGGAAGTTTCCACCTCCGTGGTGCTCCTGTTTGCCCTTGCAGGACATCCTCACTGGCTCTGTCAATGCTTCCTGTGGCTGGAAGCCAATCCTCCATCCAGGGTAATGGCTCTGGTAGGCACAGCCAGAAATAACGGAGCTGATTGAGCTCTGCAGGCTCTCAGGGGATGCAATGGCCTGGACTGACCCTGCATACAGCCAGGGGATGGAGCAAGGGTGGGCAAGAGCCGTGTTTCTCAAGGAGCCTGACTGCCCACCACAGCTCCACACTGTCCTTTAAAGCAGCTGCTGCTGCACTAAGGGAAATTTGCTGGTTGGGTTCTCCCTGAGAAGGGATTTATCAGCAGTGTTTCAACTCTCAGGATCCTGTTGGGGCTCCTCCTGCCCCAAGCTACCTCACCCTGCCCAAACCTTCTTTCACTTTAAATGCAGGGTCAGGAAAAGTCATCCTGAGCAGGGTCACAGCTCTGTTTCCATCCCCTAGAGCTGGGTTATGGTCAAATTGCAGAGCAGCTAAGTAAGATTAAAGTGCATGGAGGCAGATATTAATTAAGAAGAAAAAAGTGAAAGCTACTCATTTCCTCCTCAGAACTGTATGTATGCTGATTAAAGTAAACATTCATAAAGCCCCCTCCCATCGTGGGGGTATTTGCTGCCTCCTGTTCCCATTTGGAGGGATTCATGGGCACAGGCAGCCAGTGAAGCCATCAGACCACCACCAATGGCCCTGGACTGTTTGCATTCCCTGCTGTTTATAGCTTTAGTGAATAAAAGAAAACAGCAGACTGGGCCCGTGGCCAAGTGCAGCCTTCAGTTTCTCTGTGGGTGAAAGGCAGAGTGGGTGGGCATCTCTGAGGCAGTGTCAGCACAGCATATGCTGGGGGACAGCAGTGTGGAGAGCCCGGGCTGTCAGTGTGAGGAACTGAGAGCATCTGGGATCCCCCCCTGTGAGCCTGCCTGCAGAACACACCAGCATCCCCACCTTGCAAACCTGGTGATTGAAGCACACTTGAAACGGGGAATTCGACTCCTGGCTGTCTCATCCTCACAGTGCTCATTGCTGTCTCCCCTTACAGCTTATTGTCTGAGGCATGTGGGCTCCCCTGTCCAAGTGATCTCTTGTTTTAAAGGTGTCTTGTGTTACAGGAATTTTCTCAAATCAGTTCTGCTCCCCAGTTCCTTCTTGGCCTTGTGTGACATTTATGTTTATGTAATCTACCCAGAGAGCCATTGACTCGCATAGCAGTGCTGGTATGCTGTGCTCAGGGTTCTAAATCCTGCCTGGATTGCTAAAAGGGAGAGTGCTGTGCATTCCCCTGATAATACTGAGTGCAGAAGCAGTGTTTCTAATGGTTATGAAGAGTTAAGAACACTCCCATTTCTTATGTAAATTGAAATAGTTCAGTTTTCCCTCCTCAAATAAGCACTGCTTACCTAGGTCTGGGAATGTTTTATCTTCCTTCCTCTCTTTGTGTTAAAAGGGCTCTACTCCAATCATAGATCAGCAGCTCCAGGCTGCCTTGTCCTAAGGTTTCCCCCAAAACACCTCTTCCCAAAACAGCTCTGACTTGTGGAAATGGCTGTTCCACCTTAGATGGTGCTGAACAGCAGGTAAGGAAGGACACACCCTAGCTCCAAGGGTCAGAATGCCCCTGGATCTCTGCAGCGAGCCCTAACAACTGCAGTTCATTTTTGGGACCATTGCAATATTAATACACAGAATGAGAGAATTCTTTACCCTCTTGCAAGCACACAGAACTCGGTGCTTTAGAAGCAAGGGCTGGTTTTCAGCCTCCACCCTACCTTCGGGTACTGCTGCTATGGAGACAACACCGACTGGGCTACAGCATCCAACACACTCCCACAGCACTTGTGCAACCCTTAAATAACCCATTTTCAGGGGCTGCTGCTTGCAAACTGCCAGTGCTCAGGTATGAAAATGAGCACTTCCCTTATTAACCTCCTAAAAACACCGGCTCAATCCCAGAGGCCCAAATTCTGACCCTCACTCGGTGAATGACTTCACTAGTGTCGGAATTTGGAGCTCAGTGAATGAGGTGAGGCTGTTCCTCTAGAGCTAAAGGCAGGTACCTGCTAAATGAAAGGACACACTGAAAATCTCTCCTGCTAGCACAAGGCTCCTTTGCTCTCTTAGGTGCAAATTTAAAAGGTCAGGTCCTTTGGTCAAAAACAAATGCTGCCATTTTCTAGAAGTTCAGCTCTGTTCTCATTGGGCTGAGAATAAATACTTCCTAACTGGCTGCTGCTTGAGACCAAGTTATTTCCTTAATGCACATTGCCTTTAATTTTTATTAGGTCTTTTGTAGATGGAAAAACAACTGGATGGAATGGGAATAGAAAGCCTGTGTGTAACTGAGTACAGTCTGGGGGGTTGAGAGCTTTATAACAAGGGTGGTTAAAATAATTGTCAGGACAAATGAAGTACCTGTGAACAGAAGAGCAACGTGCTCTGTCACTGCACTGAGAGGGACTGTGGGCTTGTCCCTTGCTGTCTGTCTTTGGATGCAAGGACAGCAAAGCTGTGCCAGCCAGTGCTTCAGTTGGAGATATTGAAGGATAACCATGGTCTTTCCATCCTTTCAGAAATGAATACCAAGCTGAAAGTTGAGCAGACCCTACACTAAAGACTCCCGGAGAGACAAAGCTTTGTCACCTGAACCTTGTCCAGGAAGTTACAGCAACAGCCCTTCGCCTTCCTGAAGGGAGCAGCTCCTGTAGCAAGGTATAACACGATTCCCTAAATCCCCCGTCATTCTATCCACCTTCCAGAGAAGCTCAGCCAGCTAAAAAAAAGCTTTTGTGCCTTTATTTTTATTTTTTTTTCCCCCTAATAATTGTGACAGAATCAGATGGCGCTGGAGCCAGCACCCATAACCAGCCAAGATTACAGGGAACTTGGCTGTGTGATGTGTCAGGATCTGGCTGCTGAATTAACTAGGCTTACATGACTAATTCCAGGTGGCCGCACAAACACTTTGTATCTTCAAGTATTCCCCCTACTTGGTGCCTCTCCCAGGGGGAAAGAAAAGGTTAAATTATGAAAGAAATGAATGGCAGGATTGGTGCAATATTTAGCTAATTTGTAAAGAAAATTAATAACTCTTGGTATTAAAAAATTACTGTTGCATATACCCGTGACTGCAGTGACAGAGCCTTCCAGTCCTGGGGGCTGAAGAGACTGGGAAGCAAAGAGGAAGATGAAAATACACAGGCTAAAAAAATCACTGGTAACATATGGAGAAACACAGCAGTTCTGCTGGTGGATTAAAATGCCCAGAGCAGGGACTGCTGACATGAGAAGGGCTGGGAATGGAAACTTTCATAAATGTCAGAAAGAGAAGAGTTTTCTCTGTAGCGACAGTTTGTAATATGTGCTGGTCCACACTGAATCCTGGTCAGGATCAAGTGCCAGATTTTGCAGGGAAAGAGGCTTTGCAGTGCAAAAGGAGAGGGTTTGGAGCTTGAGGCTTGAACCTGGTTTTTCTGTCCCCCTGGGCCGTGTCCCCTGCATCAGCAGTAGGTGCTGGGCTCTGTGGAGCTGTTTTGGGAGGCTGAGCTGCAACAGGAGCTGTAATAAATAACCCACACAGACACTGGGGCACAGCCTGCCCGCATCCAGGCTGCTAAATTTAGGTGCCTTCCAGCAAATGAGCATGTGCAAAGAGGCACAGGGACTAGAGCTGTCGTATGAGCTGGAAAAGAACTGAGAGGGTTGGTTTAGTCATGATAATAACAGCACTTTTGGCATCAGAGGAGACCAAAGTTCCTGAGGATAAACACTCGAAGACAAGATCCATCTATTGCAAGGCTGATTTCCCTCTATCATGTCCATGGCTGACCCAGGCAGGGTCACATCGGGGTAAAACTAAAGTCCCTTTGCCTGAAGGGTTTTGGCTTGAGGGCACTGCCATTTATTTGGGCAAAAGGAATAATCGTTATGCAAAGAACCATCCTTACTGAAACCATCCCTGTTTGCAATGCAGAGTTCTTAGACAAGGGATGAGGATGCTGAATACCCAGAGAGCTGTGGGAGCACAGAAGGCACGACACAGATAAGAAATCCCCGCAAACACCGGGAGAGGACCAGGACTTCTTCCTGGGGGATGTTGCTGCCTGTGTGCTCCACGCCGTCGTCCCCCTCGGTCCCCCCCAGGTGTGCCCTGCTGCAGGCTGGACTGAGAGACCAGAGCCTGCAGCCACAGCCCCTCTGATCCCAGAGACTTGCACAGGGAATGCCGGGGAGCGTGGAAGCCCTCCCAGCCTGCCAGCCCCCCGTGTAATCCCAAAAGTGCAGTTTGGGGTTACATCTCAAACGTGCAATGGGAGTCAGGCTCCCCGGGAACTTCTCCCTGCTCTGGATCACACGCAGAGCCGCTCAGGGCTGGGCAGGGCAGGGCTGGAGCTCCCGCACGTCACTGCCGCGTGTCTCCAGGGCGGGGACTTTGCCACCAGGACAGCCAGCAAAGCTCTCCCGATCCGTGCCAGGGACCCGCGCGGGACAGCGGGTGAGTGCCAAGCGAGCGGGGGATCCCCCTTGGCATGGGGAGCGGGCTGCATGGCTGGAGGTCCCTGGGACGGTGCCAGGCGCCATCCCCGCGTTCCAGCCGGGCCGGGCGATGCCCACGGCGCTGGGGCAGCCCGGGAGCTCCCCGGGGCTGGGGAAGGGCGGGGGGCAGTTGTGGAATGGAGGAAAGGCTGACCTTTCCCGGGCACAGGGTTTGGTTCCTATTTGTGCCGTGCCCAGGCTGGCACATCCTCCCCGCTGGAGTGCCGAGGGCACGGCAGAGGGGTGACACGGCTCGGGGTGGGCGCACAGGCTGAGTGATATAAGGCTATAAGAATCATATTTTTATTCCTTCTGAGGCCAGATAAAGGTCATTGTGTGGGAGGCGCTGGGATGTTTCAGCTGGCTCGGGGCTCGTGGAGATCCTTTCCCGAGTCAGTGGCCCTGCGGCCAGCCCGGGCACCCCGGGAGCGCAGCCAGCGCTGACCCCGCACACCTGGAACAGCTGGCGGTGGGAGCTCTGGAAAAGCTGATCCCGCGCTGGGTGTGGGCTGTGTTTGTGTAAACGGGAACCGAATGAAGGAACTCGTCGGACAAGTCCAGTGTTTGCTTCGCAAGGAAAAGGGTCACGAAGTGGGTTTCCATACAGATCCGAGGTGTAGGACTGGCAGCGCTGCTGGGTCGGGGTGTGCAGAGGGAAAGCCCTGTGTTTCTATCCTCTTAAGCGGTTGGAAGCTTTCCTTGGTGGTTCCTGTGTGTGTGCTCTGAGCAGTCGGAAAACCTGATTGTGTGCAAGCCTAAACTTGAACTGGCCAGCACATGTGATATTGTCAGCACTTTCCCCATAAATTAAGTTTATTCTGGATTCAGCTTTTAGAGGATGTTGATACGGACTTGAAACAGGCTGATTAGCTGATAAAGCCTGCCAGGAAAAGATCATCCATGGAAAAAAAAATGGAGTAATGGGAGGAATGGCTCCTACACTTGCATTCTGTGATCTGGGCACAGTGTTCTAAGCCAGGTTTACTGTGCCAGGCCTTTATTCTGGGGTGAAACAAATAACATCAGGACCATAGCACTGGCTGGCTGAGTCTTGCACACATCATTTAATTCTTAAAAACACAGAGCGAAGTATTCTTCCTGTCCTGAAGCTGTTTTCCCCTGATTGAGCTGCAGGCCAGGAATTGTGTTAAGCTTCTGAGCACTGGCAAATCTGCTGAGCAATTCCCTTCTGGCTTAGGAGAGTTTCATTCATCTAAAGCCCCAGCATGAGCAGCTCTTGCAGACCCCTTCAGCTGTGAAACGGTTACAGGGGCCACTGCTGGACAGCCTGGCAGATTAGAGATTAGAGCACAGCAAAGATGACTTTTCTGGGGTCTGGGTCATACTGTGAGCACTGGAATTCATGATCAGAAGAAAGAAAGCAAACTCAACAGTAATAATTACCATAATGTTGCAATTATTGATCGTGTAGGGTGTAGAAAGGTAGAGGTGCACCCGGGAGTGCCTGTGTGTAACACATCCATGGCAAGTGGCACACAGAGTTAACTGACCTGAACAGCTCACCCTGGGCATTCCAGGTCTGTAGGAGTCATGTGGAGCAGGAACAAACACACTCCTGTTCTTGCACAACTCTCTGGGCTCATGGATAGCAGCTATTAGGCACCACGAGGAGAACTAGGAAGAGATGTCATTCACTGCTGGCACCTCTGCTTCTGCTTCAGGGTTTTAATGAGAGAACTTGCACAACCCTGGAATAAAGCCACACATTTGGTGGGTGGACTTGACTTGCTGTCACTGTGTTTGCATCTTTTGAATTTATTTTTCATTTAATTCAACCCTACGGTATGTAGGTGTCTCTGAGTGTGCCTGACCTAACTGCTCTCCTGTGTTGCTGGGATGAACTTGGGTTGTGGGGAAGTGAACCTTGTCCTGGTACGTGACATCCTGTGAAGTGATCAGGGACACAGGAAAATTTGGGTGTGTTCATGCAAAGCCTCTCTGATTGCAAACAAAATTATGAACAGAACTAATAACCCTGGGCAGGTGGCAAGTAAGCTTTGGGGCTTTTCAAGGGTTTGTCAGTTTGTCATCCTCACCCTGCTTCATCCTCACCCTGCTTCATCCTCACCCCGCTCACCCACAGGTTCTCATGTGCCAAGGTCAAAGCCATGTGTTTTGGTGGACATGGGAATCAAGTCTTTTCTCTTTGCTCCCAGGGCAACACTGCTTCTCCTTGTAGCCTCAGCCAGGCTGTCACACAGGCAGTAGAGAAGAATCGTTAAATTACCAGTGCTAATCACCTGTCTGACCACCACATCCCTTCCAGCCTGGCCCTGCTGTCATTATCCAGACTTTGCTCTGCACAAAGCAGGGCTGAACACTCTGGGGAGCTGCCCTGTTCACTTGGGCAGTTCAATCTTGCTTTTAGTCCTCAAACAATTTGATGGTTACTTAACCAGCCTCATTAGCCTTTGAGGGAAGGTGTATTCTATTAATTATTTGCTAGAAAACTAACACTCCCTGTGTTTTATTATTACAGCTGTCTAAGTGCCCTGGACGCAGACAGTAAGAGATTGAGCAGATCCCAGCACGATGGTGAGTGAGTGTGTTTGCTGTGCCAGGCTGTGCCAAGCCTTTGCTCTGACCTGATGACCGTGGGGAGTGGAGCTCAGATAAGGATCCAGCAGCAGGAACGCTGTCACTGTCTGTCCCTTCAAGGGGGTGAATTTATTGCCTCTTCCTGCTTCCTCATTTTAGAGGAGAATGACCCACACATACATGCTTTTGAATTTGGGGAGTTAATGGAAAACCAGATCAGATATTCATTCAAAGAACATTCATTTCTCCAGATAAACTTCCTAGGCATATTATTCTTTCCAGGTTGAGCCTGCAAAGCAGCCATTTCTATGGTTGTTACTACAGAATCCTGGAATGGTTTGGGTTGGAAGGAACCTTAAACATTATCCAGTTACACCTCCAGCCATGGGCAGGGACACTTTGCACTAGACCAGGATGCTCCAAGCCACGTCCAGCCAGGCCTGGAACACTTCCAGGGACAGGGGAACATTTTTCTGCCCATTGAATATTAAGTGGTATTTTGCTGATGATTTTCTTGGGAACATGAAGAGCTTTGTAAGAAAAGTGTATTTCCCCAAAAATATTGCCCAGACCAGAGGCAGGAGAAACTTGTTTGTGAATCACCATTTCAGGTAAAACGCTGTACTTCCTGGTGTGTTATTTAACACAGTGATTGTCCTTGAGTGCTCTTAGAGCAGGAATGGGGCTTTGATGGGAACAGCTCCTTCTATGATTTACATGGAAAACTGCTGGGAAGAAGCTGGACTGAACAGTGATGTCAGGCTGTGAGCCCTTATTTAACTGGAAAGCAGATACTGCATGGGCAGCCACATTAAGATATTTTCTCCTTTCACTTGAGTCCCTGAACAAATCATTCCATTTTAGGATGGGATGAAACCTGGTATAAAATCACTCATGTTTGGAGGGTGGACTTTATTTGCTGTCACTTTCCAAAAATGATGTTTGGATCTTTTGAATTGTCTTTTTTTTTTAAATCAACTCTACTTTGTGAATGTCTCACTTTGTGACTACTTTTCTTATCTCCTCTCCTGTGGGTTTAGGCAACAGTCAAGGGCGTCTCAAGTTTCAGTGCTGAGCAAGAAGCACAGGCACTAAGGAAGGCCATGAAGGGATTTGGTAAGTTATCTCCCTCCACTGTTAAAACTTCTTTTGTAGCTCTGGTGGTTGGGAAGGTTTTTACTGGTGGTTTTTTGGAGGGGAAGTTCAGCCATTTGCATCACCTCACTGCCCTGTGAGGGCACTGGTGGGAACTGGGTGACTGGAAATCCAAGCCTTGGCCATAAAAACATCTTTAGTCAGGCTCTTGTTTTCTCTGTTCTGTGGTGTGGTGCTGCTGGGCTGAGGCACTCATTGTGTGGCCAATGGCACACCCTGGGCAAGGCCACAGTCTGGTTCTGGTACAAGCAGCTTGACTGGTTTTCATTGGCTCCTTCCAGGCACGGATGAAGATGCCATCATTGAGACCTTGACCAAACTGAACGTGTCCCAACGTCAGCAAGTTCTGATCGCCTACAAAAGCACTATTGGCAGGGTAGGTGCTCTGAAGAGATCAGTGCCTGTGGCTGGAATTGGGAGATGTGGACTTTTTTGGGCTGTACCACTTGGCTGAAATGTAAAGAACATCACAGCCTCCACAAGAGTATGATCAGCACTGAGCACAAGCTTTCCTTGGCCAAGTTTTTCTGGTCTTGTTCACTTCAGAGTAGCTGTTCATCCAAGGAGGGCTGGAGCATGAAGAAAAGTGGTGAACGAGTTCTTCCACTTCTCAAAGGGCATGTCTTTTTCTCCTTTCTTCTCTTTCTCTCTCCTAGGATTTGATTGATGACTTGAAGTCTGAGCTGAGTGGGAATTTTGAAAGGGTGATCGTTGGTTTGATGACTCCTACCACCATGTATGACGTGCATGAACTGAGGAGGGCTCTAAAGGTTTGGGGATCCTTTTTTATGTTGCATGACTTATGGTCAATTCAATATGCAATGGCATAATTGTATATTAGTTACTAATTTCTTATTAAGCTATATCTAATAAACAGAAGTTGTAGCTACCCTTCAAACAGTTGTCACAGCCTTGGCTCTTGTCTCTGTGACTCCCTAGGGAGCGGGGACAGACGAAGGCTGCCTGATTGAAATCCTGGCTTCTCGCACCAACGCGGAGATTCGGCACATCAGTGAGAACTACAAACTCCGTATGTAGCACACTCTGCAGCTTCCTGCAGGCTCAGAAGCCACTGCTGTGTGTGCAGGGGTGTGTGGAGAAGCAGGAAAAGGGTCTGTCAGCATAAAGGGCCAGAATGACACCCAGAAATTGAATCGGTGTAAATGTAATGGGGTGGGGTGGTAATGTCTGTCAGCTGGAGGTCTGTCCAAAGTGGATCTTCTGCCAGTTTTATACTGGCTGTGCTTCTTAATGTTGCCCTGTACCACTCACTATGATGGCAAGGGCATCCTGGCTTGTCCCAGTCACAGTGGACATGCCTGTCCCCCTGTGCTGCACTGCGGAGGCCACTCGAACCCTGAGGACAGTTTAGGATGGATGTTAGAAAAAGGTTCTTCACCCAGAAGGTGGCCAGGCACTGGAACAGGCTCCCTAGAAAAGTGGTCACAGCATCAATCCTGACAGAGCTCAAGGAGTGTTTGGATAACATTCTTGGGCACATGGTGGGACTCCTGGGGATGGTTCTGTGCAGGCCCAGGACTTGGTGATGCTTGTGGGTCCCTTCCCACTCAGCAAATCCTGTGCTTCTGTGAGCTGTTAGTAACAGATCTGCTCCGTGTGCCCTGGCAGAGTACGGCTCCACCCTCGAGGACGACATTGTCTCTGACACATCCTCCATGTTCCGCAGAGTCCTGGTGTCCCTCGCCACGGTGAGTCCAGAACAGGGGAAATACGGGGCTGAAGGTGCTGCTGGACATGTCTCACTCAGTGAGGAGGTGCTTCAGGCTGTCTGCTATTCCACTTCTCTTGCATTTCACCTTGCCAGCATTTCACACCAGCTTCTGCAGAGAGAGCAGCCTCACTCTGCCATGCCTTAATGCCATATTCTCTTTTTAAATTAAAGTGGGTGGCTGCTTGTTTCAGAAGAAAAAACAAATGACACCCAAATGATGTTTTGCTGTATTTGTAACCCATTACTCAATGTTAAGAATCCCATTATACATCTCCAGTAACTGAATGGGGAATTTGCAGGACTTATTTCCATTAGTTGCTCTGTTGAAAGAGTTTTTCATCCTTGTGTTTCCGCAGGGTAACAGAGACGAGGGAACATTTGTGGATGAGGCCCTTGCTCAACAAGATGCTCAGGTGTGTAGCAATTTGTTTCCTTGCAAGAACTGTTTGGGTTTGTATGTGTGATGTGTGCTCCCTGCTGTTTCTAGACCTCTTTTTCTCAAGGTAGATGAGTAAGCCTGAGGTTGTGCTAGTCAGCAGTGCCCCGGGTGGACACTAGATTGGATATTGGGAAATGTTTTTCCCCTAGAAGAGTTGTTCAGCTGTGGCACAGGCTGTCAGGACAGGGGTGGAGTCCCCATCCCTGAGGGGATCCATCAGCCACGTGAACGTGGCACTTGGGGACACGAGTTTGTGGCTGTCTTGGCAGTACAGGGGAAAGCTTGAACTCAACAATCTCAGAGGGCTTTTCCAACCCAAAAGGTTCTATGAAGTAAAAATCTCATTATATCCACCTGGTGTTCTCAATTATCCTCACTTTTTTCGTGTCTTTAAGAACCTGTATGAAGCTGGGGAGAAGAAGTGGGGAACAGATGAGGTGCAGTTCATGTCCATCCTCTGCACACGGAATAGGTGCCACCTGCTCAGAGGTAGGACCTCTCTGGTGCCCTGGGCTTCTTCTCTTGAGTGAGGACACTACTTTTGTAGGAGCTTTGTACTGTTCATTAACTGATTGTGATCCCTTCCTGAGACAACAGATATTCTCAGGGACAGTTGATTCAATTCTTTTAGACCGTTTTATTCCCTCCTGAGACAAAATGGGAGTTGAGAAAAACACCCATACAACTTCCTCTAGCCTGTGAATTGGAGATAATGAAGTGTGACTCTCATGGGGCAGAGCTAAGCATGGAAACTGTCTGCATTAAACAGCAGTTCTGGAAAATCCTAGCAGCAGTGTTTGGCTAATTAGCAAGACAGCTGATAATTAAAATGAATTATTTCTGAGGGGCAGCCCTGGTTTAGCTTACAATGTCATGGTAATGGTGCAGTGTTTGTACAGGGTATGAGGAGCTTGATCTTGCAAAGTGATCCTCGGGGGTTACACACTGACACAGCTCACTTGGCTCTTTTATCCGACTCTTCCTCCTAGTTTTTGATGTGTACAGAGTGATTGCTAATAAGGACATCACAGAGAGCATTAAATCTGAGATGTCAGGAGACCTTGAGGATGCTTTGTTAGCTGTGGGTGAGTTCCCTGCTTTTAAACTTTGTCTACAAACTCATTAAATAATTAAAGATACTGTCTCATGCCCTGACTGTTTGCACAGCTTCAGGAGGCAGATTCTTCTTCACTGTTTCACGAGCCACAGTGTTTTAATCTTTGCAGATGAAAAGGCCTGGCAAGAAGGCTCTGTGCTTTATATTTCTCTGCCAAGGGATGCTCTGGCAGATGACATTTGCTGTGTAGAAGCTTTAAAGCCTTAAAAATATTTTATTGCTGTGATGGAGACATCAATTGACAGCAGGTCACTGACTCTGGATGTCTGCACTGTGCTTGCTGAGTTGCATTTTTACAGAATAAATGTCTACACTGAGAAAGTGCTGGAAGGATTTGGAAGACCTTATCCTTCAGTGTTTATTGGTTTTAATTCTCTTGTTCTTGTCTCCCTTACAGTAAAGTGCTTGAGGAACAAACCTGCATATTTTGCTGAGAGATTGTACAAATCCATGAAGGTAAAGAGATTTTGCTATTTTCCCCCCTGCTTCTCCATGATTAAGTCAATAGCATGACAGCAATTAGAGAAACTGTGTTAATTGGGGGGGAAAAAAAGAAGTCTGAGGTTTGCTGTGGACCTCTTTCCCTTCAGGAAGCTCAGAGCTGGTAATGGATGCCTGCATTAATGCAGAAATGGTGAGGAATGGATTCCACAGAAGGCCAAGGCTCTGTGCCTGTCACTGCTCTGTCCCCAGTGCTGTGCAGCTGTTGTTGTGTCCCCTCAGGGCCTGGGCACCGATGACAGCACGCTGATCCGGGTGATGGTGTCCCGCTCCGAGATAGACATGCTCTACATCAGGAGAGAGTTCCTGGCCATGTATGGCAAATCACTCCACTCCTTCATCAAGGTAAGCTTGCAGTCCTACACAGACCTGGATTTGCTAAGCAGCTTCAAGGAGACCCTCTCAACAACTCCTTGGGTATTTCAGAGGAGGTGGAATTAAGGAGACTTTACATTTATGTACCGAAAACCTTCCTGAATGTTCTTGGTTATTAAATTGTCAAAGAGGATACAAACACTACAATATGTCATTTATGCTGAAAGGAATCCTGCTTTCCTTGGAGCTGCAAAATTAATGATGTTCCTTTTTTCTGCTCTCTCTAGGGAGACTGCTCAGGGGACTACAGGAAGGTTCTGCTCAGGCTGTGTGGTGGGGAGGATTAAAGGAGGCCTGAGGAACCTGCTGGGTGATGGGAAGCAGCTGATTATAGAATTGTTTAGGTTGGAAAAGATCATGAAGATCATCAAGCCCAATCACGATAAAGATTTCTTCTTTTTTTTTTTATTTCCAAATGCCTTATTAATTACTCTGATTGTTGCCTTAGGTTAGTTCATGCTCTGGTTAGATAGAGGCCATTCTGGTTGACTCTTTTGATACACTTTTGTGCTTGGAACACCCATTTGCCTACTAACTGAAGTCCATCTTACACAGAATGCTGTAACCAAAGGTGTAAAACTTGTTTCCTGACCAGCTGCCCCTTTTGCTGTTGTGTTCACCAGCAAAATGCATCAAGTGAAGGAAACCTGGATGCACAGTGTGAGAGGCTGCCCAGGGAAAAGCCAACCCCATTGGTACATGAAGAATGCAGAACACAGGTTTGCTTCAGTTTTTCAGTAGAATTAAAACACAAAGAAACCAAATATCTAAAATAGGAGCTTGTTTACATATTAACTTGCCTCTGTTAGTGTGGAGCATTAACAGCCTGGCTGTACTGTATATATATGTTGTCTGTAGGTCTGTAAGTGGGGAAGTTGTCACTGGTGACATGAGAAAAACCTTTTCCTGCCCTTGTTTTTGGTCTGTCTGTGGATCATGGGAGTATAAATAATTAGGGTTATTTTATAAACCCTGCTGTGGATACAGTGATGTCATTGGAATGGTGCCTTTTAAGGAATGACCTGTCCCCAGAACCCAACCTCACCAGCCTGGTGCTGGAGCAGCTCCCCAGATTTTCCTGGGACACCTTCCCAGATGTAGCTGAGGTAATTCCCCAGAGCTGCCCACATCTTACACCGGCTGACAGCTGCCCCTGAGGGATCCCCTGTGTGCCTGCTCCTCCTGTGAGGGATGTCCACATCAACCCTGCGAGACACTTCTCCCCCAGGCCCCACACACCTGCCTGCTCACGGTTTTCACTCCAAAAACGGGATTCTGCTTTGGCTTAGCAAGTTATTCTTTACCATTGGTGTACAATCCTGTTCTGAAGGATCAGACTCGAGATCATTGTCAAAGCTCCAGCACTGAGGTGGCTGCACCCCAATTCCATCACTCCTTTTCCAGCTGCTGCTGGCCACAATCGGAGATGCCTCTGTGGCCTCCAATAATATAATTTCCTTTCTTGTTCTCTGGCCTGCCATAGGGGAAACATTCCTGGCTTTTGCTGGCAGAGGAGGCAGAGCTTTATCCAGTTCTGGGGGCTCTGCCCAGGGCAGGGCAATGCCCAGCAGAGCACAGCAGCTCTGGAGGTGCTCGGGCTGGGGGTGGGTTTCACTGCCTTGGGTCAGGTTGCTGAATGGTGAAAAATTAATAAAGAATTTGTTTCTGTATTTCCTGCCCCAATGGTGTGTTCTGGGAGGGGACACAGGGGAAGAACTTGTTTTGTCCCAAACTCCTGTTTTCTGCAGGATCCTGCGGCTGCAGGGATGCTTCTTATGCTAATTAGTCCACGTTTTTAGTCTTTTTGGTATCCTTTTCCTCCAGTAAGGACTTTCCAATGCATAAACTCAGTCTTTGCCTCTTCTTTATCTTCTGGTTTCTGAAAACTGTCCTTGTCATCCATAAATTCTACAGTCCAGATGTCCAACTTCAACAACACGTTTCTCTCCCAGGCTTTGTTCATTGAAGCACATCAAAGTTTATTTATCAAAACTTACAATTTCAGTAATTTTCCTAAGCGGTCTTTCTACAAAGCAGCTTATAGCAACTTTGCTAAACACTAGCAAAGAGTAATTTCAAACAGTAATTTAAGAATGAAGGACTGTTTATTATTATTAAAATATATCTATAGGTTATGATTAAGAAAACCAATGTAGAAGTCAATTTACGCCATTAATAAAATCATTACTCGCTCCCACCGTTGCTGGAGGCGCAGGAAATGCGCCCGCCCGCGTCACCCTGGGCCCGCCCGCGTCACCCCTGGCCNGGGGCCGGGCTGAGGGGATGAGGGGCCGGGGGGATGCGGGGATGGGCTGAGGGGATGCGGGGCCGGGCTGAGGGGATGCGGGGCCCGGCTGAGGGGATGCGGGGATGGGCTGAGGGGATGCGAGGATGGGCTGAGGGGCAGCTCGGGGGGGACACTCGAGGGCCAGGCCCGGCCTCCCCTCAGAGCCCAGGGCTGGAGGGGAGAGGTTTCGGGGTGAGGCCTCACGGGGCTGCCCGGATCAGGGGTGGCTCGGGCGCTCGGGAAAGGCCCCGGAGGAACTCTGCAGCAGCGGGGAAGCGGTGCCGGCACGGGGGGACACGGCAGTAGCGCCGGACTGGGCTGGACAAACGCCACCCCGGCTTGGAGCGACTGTTGCCGCTTTAACGGGAGACTTTCAAAGAGTATTTCTCAATTTTTGTGGTTTGTTGTTTTGTTTTTACTAGGAAAAAATTGAAAAGCACATCGAAATATATTTATCAGACACTGTTTTTGAATGGAGAGAACAGTGATATCAAAATTTGTGCTCTGGGAGAGGAGTGGAACTTGCACAAAATTTATTTGTGTCAGGTAAGTGGCTCCTGACTCCCAGTAGGAACTGTTTTTTTAATAAAAGGATGTCTGAGTACTGTCATGTATGACTGGAGATCTTTCCCTTTTTTTCCCCACTTTATATTTAGGACTTTCACTCTTTGCTCACTTTTGCTGTCTGCTGGACTTGCGTGCAGGGAAATTGCTGATGCTGGGTCTCTGTAGGTGTTACATGATTGTTACCAGCCTTCACAAAAGGATTCCTTGCAGCTTCCCTGCTACTGCAGGAGGAACATTTTCTCAGGAACTCTAAAAAGGAATAAATCTTCATGCATACGTCCAAAAACGATGCTGTTTCCACAAACATTTTCTGTTGGGCTTGTGTTCAGGTGGAGTCCTTTGTGTCTGTGTTTTTGGGAGCGCAGAGGTGCTGTTGGCCTCGCTGTCTGTTCTGTGTCGCTCCTGCTGTGGCAAAAGCAGGAAGGAGTCGTGACTGTGCCTTGAAATACCAAATTCACTTGTGCCCACATCTGCCAGGGGTTCTGGCCTTGGCAGGGGTTGATGTGAAGCCCTCAGGTGCTGTACCTGGACAGGGGGGCACTTGTGTGTCAGCTGCAGTGGGAGCCAGAGCAGGGCTGTGACGTGGCTGCAGTTTCTCTGCTGCCACAAGTGACAGGAAGAGAGAACTCTGGATTTTTTTGTGGCTGTTGCTGTGTCAGTGTGTGGATTCCAGAGCAGCTTCAGCAATTACTTGCATGGTCCCAGCAAGGGAAGCATTTCATAGCTTTCTTGTAGGAAAAAGCTTTTTCCTGTTTGGAGTTTGAGAACACTTTAACAAGCATAAACTGAAGGCAGGAGAGTGCTTTGTGGGAGCTGAGGAGGCTGTGGGGTCTGTGCAGGAGCAGAGCTGGCAGGCACAGCACCCCAGCCAGGGGGGACTGGCAGGGCTGGGTGGTGCAGGGTGGGCACAGCACTGCTGTGGCCTCAGGCTGCTGCTGTTTCCTGTCACTGTGGCTCTGTGGTTGCTGCATCTCAGGCTGGTGAAGCTGCTCCTGAGACCTTAGTGCAGGTTGGTGACTGAAACTGGATGTGAAATCCCTTCTGTGGATGCAGCTGTTTGGAGGGGTTTGAAAGTTGTGAAGTTGTCTGTAGAGGCCTTGTAGGAGCGGTGTTCTTGGGACGTGAGCTCTGGGGGGAGTTCACCATTCTCCTCAGGCAGGTTCTGTTTCAGGGCTCACTCCTGCATTGCAATTATGTTACTGTAGGTAAAATAGTGTTGGAGGTTAGAAATAACTCCATATAAATGACTCTCAATGCCTCTGTTACTCCTCCTCTGTGCCTCATGTGTGTTTCAGAGTTAGGGATACACTGAGGCTACAGAAATACTGACCTGATCAAATGAAATCACAATTGGGTTTTGTGTTATTTGCTGCCCTGAGCTGAAATGCTGAGGGAAGAGGTCAGGGAATGTGGTGCTGTACAAATAGACTTTATGTTTTTGATCTCTCAGGTAAACTTCATTGATAGCATCTCATAATGGGCACATCTGCTGCTGGGAAGGAAAATCAGGAACCCTAGTAGAGCATTATCTTTCCCTTCTTTTGGATGGAAACCTCAAATTCTAGTTTTATGTGCTTTTCACTTAATAATAAAAGGTATATTGCTGTAAATGGTGTGTGTGTCTGTGTCCTTGGTACGAGGCTACAGCCTTGTACAGTAATTTCTATGTCTTGCATGCCTTTTTTTTCTTTTTCCCCAGTCCCCAAACTGGCATTCTCTAATGCCTGCAGGATTTGTTGTTTGCCAGTAACCTTAAGGATTTAGTTCGTGGACTAATTCTGTCCCCACTGGTGATGTGGTTTGTGGGAAAAAGAGCTTGTGTAGCTTTTGTGGCCTTTTCAAACTCTTTCCTTACTCTGGTTACACACACATAATCCAAATTTTCCTGTAGGCATTTTGAGTGTCAGAAACAGCAACTACAGTCATCCCCTCAAGTCTGTCAGAATGTTTTAGCTTGTGAAAGTTCCCTTAATATATTTTGTTCTGCATAAAGGAAAATATTAACCATGTTTGGTTCCATGTGCTGCTTTTGCCAGTTTTAAGTGGGATTAAATCTCTTAGTTGAGTTCTTTTCCTCTCTTCCTTCATACAGTCAGGCTACTTTTCCAGTATGTTCAGTGGCTCTTGGAAAGAATCCAGCATGAATGTCATAGAGCTGGAGATTCCTGATCAAAATATTGATGTAGAAGGTAAGTGGGAGCCTTTTATTTTAACAAAACCCTGAAGGGAGAGGTTAAGTTAAGCCTCATGATGTTCAGAGAAGGCTCATGAGGTTCAGCTTCTTTTTGTGCAGTTTCTCAGCTCTCAGGGTGAAGAGTTTGATGAAATCATGGGAGCTCAGTAACAGATTGGTTACTGCCCCACGTTGTATTTTCTGTCTGGTCAGTTCTTTCGATGAAGAGCCCTCAGACCATAGTGAAGGTGTGCAGGGAAGGGGTTTGGCTGTAGTGAAGGTGTGCAGGGAAGGGGTTTGGCTGTATGAAGGTGTGCAGGGAAGGGGTTTGGCTGTAGTGAAGGTGTGCAGGGAAGGGGTTTGGCTGTATTTAGGGCTCTTTGTGGCCCCACCCCGGGCTCGCTGTTGTCTCTGTTTGACTCTGTTCCCTTTGCAGCCCTGCAGGTGGCTTTTGGCTCGCTCTACAGAGACGATGTGCTCATCAACCCCAGCCGCGTGGTCGCCCTGCTGGCAGCAGCCTGCATGCTGCAGCTCGTAAGTCAGAGATGCCACTGCCCCTGTCTCTACCTTTGAGAAGAAACACAGCAGCTCAGAATATCCTCACCCATCTGGCCTTTTTCACCCAGGGGAACGAAACAGCTTTTCAGGCTAACTGGGGAAAAAGCCAAACACAATGCAGTAGGTTTATTGAAAAATGCTGTGACTAAGATTGGAGTGTGAGATTAAGTTATTTGAGAGTGATATGTAAAAGTAGATTAAATAGTATTTGGAGCTCATTTGTTCTGCCCTGAAGAGGTTCAGTACCCTTTTCTTTCATGGGAAGTATTCTTAAGGAACATTTGTGTCTCTGGGGAATGATGGTTTAAATGTTTTGAACAACGTAACACTGGTCACTGCAGCCTGTGGGACTTTGGGGATGGCTCAGGCATGAAAATCGGTTTGAACAGCACAGTGTCTGACA